TGCTGGTTTGTGTGTTCTCCAACACAACTCTCACAACGCTTCGCTGAACGTACTCGCTCTCCCAATGGGGAGCTTACATAACAGTATGTTTGCTATCCTAAACTCTCATAATGACATTAAAGAGATCTTGGTTTGTAAAGAACGACTTGGGCACCATTAAACTCGAGAGAAGATCAGGCAGCTTCATTTGCACGGACAGCGCCTTTCAAAGTAGAACTGGTTTCCTTATATAAGAGAGACCCCAGTCAAGAGCTGCACCAAATCAGCACCCCCTCAGTCTCCCCCCACCCCAAACTCTCCATTTGCAAACACAGAGATGGGCACAATAAAAGGGTCAGACAGAACCGTTTTTATTAAACCGTTCTCTCCCAACTACTACCGTGAAGGGATATTGTTAGAATTCATGAGTTAGGCGGGTCGGGTGCCACTCCCAGGAGCTGTTTTTTCTTTAAAAGCCAAACACACAACACGCACGCACACACAAACGGAATACAGCTTCTGTACTTCGGCATGGGCCACCCAGGTGCCAACATAACGACAATGAAAACGGGACCCCGGCTGAGAAGGGATTGTCTGGGGAAGCAGGATCTCGCCGGGCATACGGACAAACGATTCGTCTCTTACGATCTCCTGCCTCCCCCCCCCCCCTTTGGGGTGTGTCTGGCATAAGACAACCCCTGTTCTGTTAATGAAACGGACCTGCAGGGCGCAATCCTGCTAGTGCTACTGTTACAAAAGTTCATGAAAAGGATCTCGGTTTGGGGGGGGGGGTTAAAGAATATTTTAGGGACTGTCAGATCCAGATCACTGAAAGGGCAGGGACAAGGGGAAACTTCACTTCTTCCTGCAGATGGGCTTTTAAGTCACTGCACTCCCCGCCAGCAATTGCCCTCAAGGTCCTGCCTCTCCTCGTTCCAAAGCTAAATTCATTTCAGAAATATAGAAATGTGTCTTTTTGTTTGTTTTTTTAAAAAGGAATTAAAGTAAAAGAAGGTTTCACTTTTGAGCTTTCTTAGCAGGAAAGATCCCTTAGCAGGGGCCACTTATGACAACAGGGAAATGGAAGCGGGATGTGTGGGGGGGGGGGAAGGGCTGAAGGCCAATCTACAGCTCTCCCCGAGCATGGAGCATGTAGTGCTCGTGAAGTTCGGATACCAAGCCAAATTCCCCCGGGCACTCCGTACAGTGGTATGGTCCGTCAGCCCCATCTGTGTCCTGATCCCCGTTAGCCTCTCTGGGAGCAGCAGGAGGAGGAGCCAGCTTATTACGAGGAGGGGCTGGAGGGCTTCTGCGCCAGCTGTGTTCGCAGCGGTGGCCCTCCAGCGTGGCAGGAGAGGTAAAGCCCACGCCACACTCAGCACAGATGTAGTGAAAAGCTCTGCCCCGGCCGGAAGTCAGGGCCGTCCGCCCTTCCTGGCTGTCAGGATTTCCCGGCAAGATCAGTGGAGGTGGGGGTGGCTTGGTTGAAGAGGAGCCACTGTGTGGCCTTTTGCGCCCCACGTGGTAGCTACGGTGCACCTTCAGGGCCCGAGATGTGCCAAAGCCACGCCCACACTCGGGGCATTCGTGCCATTCGGGGCTGGGAACCTGGGAAGAGCTGAGGCGATCCTGCCCTCCCTCTCCAACATCATCCACCTGTTCCACAGCAGTGGCCAGTTTGGGGTCTTTGCTCTGGGGACCTAGGAAAACCAAGAGACAGAAAACAATGTGAAGTATGCAAAGTACAAGCCATTCTTGGCTGGTCCCCCACGCTACAACTCATAGCTCTAACACAGGGGAGGAGAACAAAGTTTTCCTCACTTGTCTAGGGAAGGGGGGTCAAACTGACGGCACGCAGGGCCGGTGTGTCATGCACAGGCCACGCCCACCCCAGCTCCATGAGATTATCATGCGATGGTAACGTGACGCCATAATTTTGATACCTATGGTCTATGGAGATTCTCAATCATCCACATCAGGGTTGTCCCAAAGGTGCTTTTGCAAAAGACAACCGAACTTTGATATTATTATTTTTTCCTTGAAGCCATTTCGCTTCTCATTCCAAGAAGCTTCTTCGGTTTTGTTCGGCTTTTGGACTTTCCTCCTTTGCTAGCCCCATGGATAATTTGTTCAATCAAAGGGACAAGTTTTATGTCTCTTGTGCAATCATAAAGGGATGTGAGGAAAGTAACCTGCAGGGAAATACCTTAAATTAAGAAGGTTACAAGAACTACAGCTACCGTATTTTTCGGAGTATAAGATGCACCAAAGTTTTGAAGAGGCAAATTAAAAAAAATATATATTGCACTCTTCAAACCTCCCAACAACAGCCCATTTTTTGCAAAAACGGGCCCATTTTTTTCCAAAAAAGGACATGAATAACCTTTAGGAGGCTTGTAGAGTGCTCCTGGGGGTGGGGTGGGGGCAAAAACAAGCAAAAAATGGGCAGTTTTTTGCGAAAACGGGCCCGTTTTGTGTCAAAAAAAGGGGATGGATAGCCATTAGGAGACTTATAGAGTGCTTCTGGGAGCTGGGGGGGCAAAATTGAGCAAAAAATGGGCCTTTTTTCGCTCATTTCTGCCCTCCCCAGCCCCCAGGAGCTATCTGAAAGCCTCCTAAAAAGTATGCTTGGACATTTTGGTGAAGGGGGCGAGGTTTCAGGAGGCAAAAAATGCTGTATTCAGTGTATTCGCTCATTTTTAGGCTCTCTGAAAGCCTAAAAAGTATGCTCGGACATTTTGGTGAAGGGGGCGAGGTTTCAGGAGGCAAAAAATGCTGTATTCAGTGTATTCGCTCATTTTTAGGCTCTCTGAAAGCCTAAAAAGTATGCTCGGACATTTTGGTGAAGGGGGCGAGGTTTCAGGAGGCAAAAAATGCTGTATT